TCAGTAGAATTCCAGAGTTAAGCTGTAATGCAGTAGAAAAAATTGTGGTAATGAAGCTGGGATCATCCTCATTGGAAGCGTATATGTTCATCAATGATACTTGTATGCCATCAATACATCCATTTACTAAGACAAATCTTCCTTCAGGATCCTTATGTATGTTACTGGTTATAAAACTCTCCTGTCTATGCAGAAATAGAGACCCTACTTTTTCTCCCTGATTTGTGTGATGAGTAAAATATTTTTGTCCGCCCATGATTTTTTTTAGCTTATTCTGTTCTATATCCGATAAATGGGTTTCTTGCAAAAAGGCTATCTGACATTTTTCTCTTTTTAATTGATCAAGGATTTTCCTCCTCTTTATGGGATTGTTGAGACCCTTGACATTATAACTTATAACCTTTAACGGTCCCATGACGAGGAGTCAAAATATGGATAGGCATAATCCTTTGCCATCTGCTGATATACTGAAAGCTAAAGGAGTAGGTGGGAGGGAAAATAACAAATGGGTCAAACAAAGTTCTAAGGTAGGGTGGGTATTGGCCAGTAAAGTTTAAAATAATAATAATAAAAAAAAATGTATGTATATTTCGGTTTGAACATTATCATATACATTTTGTGTTTGAACACTGGGAAGGAAAAACTTCCAAACAACTATTATTTCTACAATTAGGATCCCTGGGGAACAAAGGGATCTGCATCAAAAGAATAAAACTTAAGGTTAGAACAACCTTAAACTCAACCAGTGTAATACGATTAGTCTCTTGGGACAGGATCCCAGGCTGCTTTGCCTGGACATGGATCCAAAAAGGTTCACAAACACTCAACTCAGGCTCCCACAGAAATAGGTTCAGTATTAAAGACATGGTGAGTGAAATCCACAATATGTGTGATTAAAGTTATTGTAATGTTTTTTATATAAACCAATTGTATCAGTGATATAGTGAATAAGTAAGGTTTAGGCTTAGAAAGCAAATCACCTCCATTATGCTTAGCAGGTCCACTGCTCACTGAAACTTCTGGGCGCTGTGCACCTCCCGATTTAAATGAGGGCACGGTCAGTTCTCCGGCTCCGCTGCTGGGATGACTTTTTTCTTCACATAGTCCATGGCCTCAGTAGCATCCAGAAACTCCTTCTCCTCGTTGTTGTGCGAGATGCAAAATCTAGCTGGGTATAATGTTCCGAAGCGGACTCCCGGGCTCCCCCGCAGCATCTTCCTGACATCCGTGAACGGCGCCCTGGCTTTGGCGACATTAACCGTGTAATCTGGAAATACAGAGATCGTGTTTCCATCGTACTGTAGCCCGCCGCCTCGGTCCCGGGCTTTCCTCAGAATGGCCAAGGCGTCACCCTCGTTGTACAGCCTTGCAATGATTACGTGGGGCTTGTCCCCCGCTCCTCTCTGCACCAAGCTGCGGTGGGAGTGCTCGCAGGTCACCTCTTTATCCACCTAAAAAACTTCTTAGGGGAGTTTTGAAACTGCTGCGGGCGAGCTGGATCCTGGACGCTCCTTGACCCCCGTGATCCAAATCTGCCTCTCCTCATTCTCCCCTCCAAGTCCTCACACTTATCTCTTAGTTCACCCACCAACTTCTCAAGATCTTTTACCGCGCGTTGCGTTGATACAACCTTGTCCGTCCATGTTGATAAGCCCTTCTCCACCGCTCCGACATTAGCCTTCACGTGCTCCAGCTCAGCATGGTTAGCCGTGGCATTGTTACCGATTACAGGTCTCACTGCAATAAGTTCTCTCTTAATCGATTCAAAGTCCTCTGCCAGAGTGGTCCTCAATTCCTCTCTTATTGCCACAGATATATCTTTTCTCCGCGATGAGAGGATTTCAGCCTTAATAGACGTTATATCCATGGTCAGTGTGTGACTGGGGTCGGGCGCGGCTGAGGTGGGGCTACCTGACCTCTTACCCGAGGAGGTGTTGGGCCTTGTGGTAGACGTGCCTTCATATTTATATTTTTGGAGATTTGACGCTATCAACTTCACTTGTACTCAATTTGGGTCCTCCTTCAATGCTCTGCTTGACTTTTAGTAGGGTTTTGAATATAGTTTTCAAGTTGAGTGTTGTTTTAATTATGAAATTAAAGCCTATTCCATGGGAAATCCAAGTCACACGTCTTATTCCATCAGTTGCTCGCTAGTGCCCCCTAAACCAGTTTTTCCAAGAGATTTAAGAGCAGGAGTTTAACTCTCAACAGAGACAAGAAGCGTCTATGGACTTCAGCAGATTGAGATACTCAGATATGTGATCAAAGCCATGGGAATCAAACCAGATCCAAGAAAGTTTGAAGCAATTTGCAAAGCACCCAGACCTGAAGATGTCCAACAATGCCGTTCATTCCTTGGCACTTATGGAGTCTTGATATATGAAAAATTAATACAAAAATATATGTATAGAAAATAGGAACTTGTACTAAGGGGACGCAGGATAGTGTTAAAAAGAGCAATGATGAAACAAGCTCTAGAAATTGGACATGAACCCCCCAAGAAGTGATCGGAACAAAGCAGTTTCTTAAGAGCAAATTCTACAGGCCTAACATGGAATTAGATGTGAAGACTTATGAGAAACTGTTCAGCTAGTGTATTTAACCAACCACTGCATGAAAATCAACCCCTTGAACCACAGGAACTACCACTATACTGTGGACTAAAATAGGTATTGATCTCGTTGGTCCTATCTATTGCTGCAACCAGGCTCAGACGGGGAACGATTTTCGGCCCTGGCATTTTTCAAATGCATTTTTCCAATTCTCATTACCGACTTCTGTTTGTGGACTGTACAGGGATCTTTCTCTTGACTTCGCCCTTTGGATTGTCCTGCCTTCCATCGTCTGCTCGGATCTGATCTCCTGTCAGTTCTGTTATCTTCAAAACTTTGGCGTCTGGAACTCTCTGTATGGCAACAGCCGCATCTGGTCAGCTGAGTGGCTGGCATAAACCTCGTTCTCTGAGCACGGACTGTACTCAAAACCAGAGTTGCTGCCTCAGACGCCCTAGCCGCTGCTACTCGGACGCTTTTTGAATAATCCCACCGTCAGTCTTGCCTGAATACTTGGTCCTTCTGTTCTAAGTCCCAACAGTTTATTATTTTTCAATTAATCGATTAATCGGATAGCAAAAGGGTTCTTAAACTAAATTCTTTATACAATTAAACAGCAAAACTATTTTTTTTACTTGAAGAGTTCTGAATAGAGCATATGGATGAATAAAAATTTTTTTTTTTTTTTTTTTTTTTACCATAAATGCAAAGCTAAAGGCATGTCTTAGGCTCTATACTCCAGTTAATGATTAAAAAATTACTTAATTAGTTGACAATTATTTCAATAATTAATTAATGATGATTACTCTGATTAATTGTTTCAGAACCACAATGTTTAATGTTGATGACTATAATATTTCCTCTCCTGAGGCCATGGTAGTGTCACATATTTCTTCATCCATTATAGTTACAAAACTTACTAAAAAATTGGCTATATTTGGATACCCCCAGGAAGATGATATTGATAATGGCAGGTAGTCTGTAGGAAAATTCACGTGGGTCAAAGCACATTAAAGCATCCTCATATTATCTAAGGAGCAATGGGAAAATAGAAAGGTTTCTCACGTACATAAAAAAAGCCTTCAGAACAGCAAAGTGCGGAGGAAAGAAGAACTTCCTAAGATTCTAATGGCATATCATGCTACACCAAAAAAGCCATCAGGAGAAACACATGATATGCTCATGTTTGGAGGAGACATCCAGAGTAAGTTGTTGGACTTACAGATGACATGTGAATCTCAGAATGAAAGGAATAAAACAAAAATGTCAAAAACCATCATTGAGAAAACAAAGCTACAATTAAAAACAGTATGCAGACATTCAAGGATGTTCGCAAGGTGATACTGAGAATATCTGTGAATAATTAATTTGAACTTGTTAACACAGAAGATGACCTGAAGGAAATCAGGAATGTCAAGCATCTTTAGCCTCTTTCCCACTGAAAATAGGGTAACGTGTGTTTTTCAAACAGGGGCTGACCCGCTAACAATCAGCATTTGGTTCACTTTCCACTGAAAGTGAACCAAATGCTGGGTTAGCCTTGATTATTTTACCAGTGCGACAGAAATCAGGAAAGTAAACAATGGAGAGCAACATGTAAGGACTACAGGGCGTAGTAAGTCTGGTGTATTGTTTTGATCTATTATCTGTCCAAATCCCTCATACCAGCGCTGCACCATGTTTATCAAATGTAAACAGAGCTTTTTTATCTTTTTTGATCAGACGAGACTTGCGCTGTGTGTTCACGTCTGTACATTACAATCAATGGTATCATGTAAATAAGCGGGTCAAACGTGTCTGGTGTTCCCATAGCAAGCTGATTAGAGCCGAGGCAATTTTATCAATGGTCACTTGCTGAGTCGTTTGACCTGTGTAGAAACACCTCACTAAGCCGTTGCCACTGCCACTAAAAGCCGGTGGTTCCCGGGTTCAAACGGGTGTTTTTCGGCCAGTGGTAAAGGGGTATTAATTGTCACACCCCTTTGTGATTGATTTTGATGCCTCTGAATCTTCGAGGGAACACAATAACCAAATCTGCAATAACTTGGAGGGTGAACCGGTTGCTGATCCCACTACAGCAGCTTAGACCCCTCCTGAACCTAACCCATAGTACCTGAAGTACAACCAGAAAAGGCAGTGGCATCAGAAGGCCTGTCGGATACAGAGAGTCTTGCAAAAAAAAGGAACAAATACATGTAAATATTTTGATCACTTTGGGATTTTTTTTGGTTTTTTACAAATGTTATGAAAAAAACCAAAGAAGTTATTTAATTAACTATTTTCTCTAAACAAGGAGGGCATGATAGTCCAAAATTTTGTAATTTGGCCAAGCAGACCTTGGCGATGCGTGAAGCATAAACCAACCTTATAACCCTTTGATGCACCCGCAAAAGATACACAGCTCCTGAATTAGTCCCGCAACCTTCAGCTTGTACAAAAAAGTGTTACCTTGAAATAGGCAGAGTGGAGCTCTCAGTGAATGTGGTCTGGTCTGATGCTGATCCTGCAAACAGTTCATCCAACATGAACTTGTTGGTCTGCTCTGTTCCATTATCAGCCTGGTGTCGAGACTGGGCCATCACCTCACTGTTTTCCTCATCAAACACCTGAACATTGGTAAAGAGTCATGCATTAGCATTAAGCTCCTTAATATTTAAGTGCAGTAAACACTACAGCTGCACTGTGCAACTTTTCTGGAAAAGTTTCTAAGATTCTAAAGGCCCTTGACTGGGGGAAGAAGGAGAAAAGATATGTCCTAATATATATATATTCCAAATATAAAAAGAAAAGTAGTAAAAAAATATTTATGTTTGTGTTCTCCCTGATTTTTAGCAGTAATCGGAACCCTAAAAAGAAAGCAAGAATATATGAATATATTGACTAAGCCAAGGTCCCAGCCGCCGCAACCCCACCCCCCCAAGTTTGGATGAGGTGATCAATTACCCTAGGTGGGCGTGGCCGTTTTTTTTTATTAAGTAACGTTCATTTTAATAGCGGCAACACTAACTGTTCATATCAATGTGTGTTTTGTACCATGGTTTTTCTCCCACACTTTAAATTTGATCACTGCTGCATTTTATGGAATGGAAATTTTCATTTACTGCCTGAAAGCTGATCTAAACAAAATTCAGTTTTTTATACACTCTGTGTGTACAAAATGACAATAAAAGTTGTCTAAATCATTGTTACTGGACTGCATTAAAAAAGATGGGAGTATAGCCAGTTCTCCAGGGACTCCATCAGTTACCCAATCAGCTTGTCCCGGTGTTGGATCCGCCGTCTGGTCAACAACTTTGTTGTTGTCCTGAATGGAAGTTGGTCTGCTGAACGACCGGAGCAAACTGCTGCTCAAAACATGAAAGCAGTAAAGTTACTGCTAATAACTATCGACACAAAGAGAGTCTCAATGTTTACAAACTCAGCTGCCTACTTACGGCCGTAGCATTACTGTGCATCTCCTCTTTTTCTCCTCCTTTGCTTCCGAGGTAGACATGCTGAAATGATTCCTGTGCGTCCTGTTTCCTTGGCAACCGGAGATCAGGTCGGTAACGAGGGCAAATACTGCCCCCTGTCGACTGAATAGAGAACTACTTCCATGGTGCGCAGCAGCTCTGTAAAAATACTCCTTTAATCCCAGTAGTTTTCTTAGCATCTTTATTCAGATGAATGAAGAATTTGATTTAATTAAGTAACATACAAATGTGTCCTTTGTACAGCTCAGCTTTCTGGTTTTGTAAAATATACAAAAAACTACGGAAGAGGACAAGGGCCACTGGAAAAATTTTTTTACTGATTTTTAATTTTTATTTCAGTTTAACATGGGCAAAAAGTCTGAATTCTGACTTTAATCTCAGAATTCTGACTTTAATCTCAAAATTCTGACTTTAATCTAGGAATTCTGACTTTTTTTATTGTCAGAATTCAGTCAGAATTCTGAGATTAAAGTCAGAATTCTGAGAAAAAAGTCAGAGTCAGAATTCTGAGATTAAAGTCAGAATTCTGAGAAAAAACTCAGAATTCTGACTTTTTTCCCATGTTAAACTGAAATAAAATTTAAAAATCAGTTAACTTTTTTTTTTCCAGTGGCCCTACTCCTCTTCCATAAAAAACAGCTATTACTGAAGTACCCGTAGAAAAAAAGTTATTCAACAAATTTTGTCAAGATTGAGAGGATGAAAATAATCGAATTGCTCAATTTTGAAGAGTAAATTGTGAGTCTACCTGTATTTAAAAGCAACTATCGGCATCATACAGGACCAACGGCATATAACACTGAGAACAGAATAGAACAATGGAAGAGAGTAGAATAAATATACAGGTTTAAATAAATGCATGTTTATTAATGTGATTCACTGAATGTGCAGAAAGTACCAGTAGGATAATGTATAACAGGCCTGCATTTGTCCAGCTGGATAAATAAACAGTATATCCCATAAAAAAAGGAAGGAAAATGGAAAACCCTTCCGTTAAAAAAACAACAACAAAAAACAGGTAAGGTAAACATTGCGCTACAGGTGTGGTTGGACAAGGGGTCTAGATTTGCTTATTACATTACTTAACAATTTTCTTATCAACTGTGGGATGCAAGCCAATATTAAATATGTTTCTTTTACTTTTTACTGCCTCCTGTTTTCACTTTATCTTAGGAATCATTTTCAAACTTGGAAACAAAGTCCAGTGGATTGTTTTTTTTTTTACTTTTTTGGAATGACTATGGCCTGGATGACTGAGAACCTTCACCAGCAACTAATCTTTCTGCAGGCTTTTTCATTTCTGGACCTGGATTATCCACCTCTGGTTACTCAGACAACCCAGAATTACTAATATACGTTGAACTGTATGCGTGTAAAAGCTTTAGAAATTTTAAAAAGGCTTAGACACAAAGTGACAGAAAATTCTTCAAAACAATGTTCTAATGAAGCTGACAAAACTGATCCTCATCTTAATCTTCTCAGCACTTAACTTTTCTGATCAATCAAATTGATTCAATCCATCTATCAGACAGAAAACAATGTGTTCAGGTGTCCAACAGTAAAACACTGTACCCTCCAAATTGGCGTAAACGTGCTGCATTAATGCTGGACTCTTATCGGCCGATAAACAAAATATAGCCGTTAATCTTTTCTCAAAGTTGGGTTGGGAGCGAGGTGTATACCAGTAGTGATGCTCGAATCAGTCTGCTCGAAATAGCTTAGATCTGTTTGAAACATAGGTGTCGCTGAGAAGCGTTTCGGGCTTATCCCTGACACCTGACAAGGTTTCATTATGTCACAACTTGTTTCAAGCTGCTCAGAAATTTGAATATTCTGGGCGTTTCAACCATAGACATTTATAGGTATATAATGTATGTTTTCGACACTACTGGTCAAGTGGCTGGTGAATATTCTCAGTCATCCAGGTCATACTCATTCCAAAACAAAGTTAAAAACAGACCAATGGACTTTTTTTTCCAAGTTTGGAGATGTTTAGCTTCTCATCCATCCTCAAGTATTTAAATAGCATCAGAATCAAGGCTCACACCATGGGATTCTAGAGGAGGAAATTGTTTTGCTAGTGATTTATTATTGACATTAATAGTTTATAGCTAAGACAGGGAAATTATTTATATTTTTTAAGAATTTTGGTTAAGTTCCTCCACCAGCTTAGCTCCACCCAGTTTTCATTATCACTCATCAGATCCACCTTTAGTGACAGATTATTCAAGTCGTAGGTGAGAGTTCTCTAGCATACTCAGTGTGTTAATCTCAGTGCCTAATCCTAAATGGTTTCTGCTCCTGGACTTCTGACTTTACCTGCCCCTGTTTTGATATTTTTGCCTGATCTGTCTTTGGACTTCCTTTGGATTCTGCCATCTAAGGACCTTGGATCTGTCTCCTGACCCCAGCTTGGATTTCCCTTCAGTGCCTCTTCAGATCTCTGATCTTCTGGCCTGTACATCTGCTTTCTCATTGACGCTGGCTTTGGATTCTCCTTCGGGATGCTTCTGCTCTTCCTCATCAGCTGGCCTCTGCTCTTCAGTCTGCTCTACAGCATCTATTGCTTCTACTCCTGGAACTCTCTGGGCAGCTTCCATTGCATGCTGTGGGAAATCATCCGGCTGCATTCCACTCCTTCCTGTGAACTCTGATTGAACTTAAAAGACAGGTTAGTGATTAACAAGTCTGCTAACGCTCCCCGTCAGTGTTACGTGGCCACTAACCTGTGTTTCTACCTCCACAGAGATTTCAGTTATCTAGTCCAAGCTGATGAGCCACAGATCCCTGAGCTGTTAATAAACACTTTTTATAAATCAATTCAGTCTGTCTGCCTGAATTCTGGGTCAAACATTCTGATTTCTGACAAGTCAGTTTTTAGCTAAAGGTGGTTTCGACCATCGACCTCTGAGTCATATGCCCAGCTAACTCCCACTGTCTGACTCTGCTTGCTTGTTTACAAGGTGGGATAGGCAGCCACAAATGATTACTTCCGGCTTGACTTTGTTATGCCATAAGCCATGATTTTAGTTTTGGACGTTTAGGAGCAATGTGCATATTGATTTTAATTTTGAACATCTGTTGAGGAAGACTCTTTATTTCCTTGCTGCACCAATCCCCAAGAAACTGCAACCCCCCTCTCCAAGACGTTCCACAAGACACACCCATAGTGCCATGCTATGCTGCCCCCCTCTTTGTTTGGAGAAAAAAAGCAACTACTTCCTGCTTGCCTATCCTCGATAAACGTTGGATTCCTGAGTTGCCAAATTTGGGAAAACAAAGACTTCTTGGCTAACTGGATTTCCTTCCGAAACCCCAGATAAAGTGAAGTAGTCAGCGGGTACATACACTCAGTCCTAAGTCCAGCACACATTCTAAGGTCTTGATGGTGCAGAAGGCCGCTCACTGGTCTCATAATCTGAAGGTAGTTTAACCCTCCCAATGGTCATGTCAAGATGGAGGCGCCGTAATGGCAGTGGCTGCTTGTAACTTCCAAAAACCCGCAAGAATTTTCAACCAAATATGCCATCTAGAATGTTATAAACTATGAATTGATCCAGTAGGTTATATTATATGAATATTGGAAGTTCAGTTTAATATAATCCAAGTATGTGAATAGTTCCATCTAAAATGAATGAAAACTGTTGTTTTAATGGTTATTGAGTCAGATACGTGGCGGGAAATGTTTGATTCATCAAAAGGTTTTTATCTGTTACTGTGTAAATGGGTTTGGCTGTAATTTAAGGACAGACTCTAATATATCTACAGTGTGGGGAATATAAATCTGATTTATTTTTTATTGCTATTTTGCTCAATTTGCTCAACTAACTATTTGTTGTCATTGAATATAAGAACTCTAGCAGGTATATTTTTTATACATACATTGTTTAGATTTACTTATAACTTTCTACCCCTTTTACAGAATAGAAAATATCTTTATTGTCCCAGAATGGTATTAGTGAAGAGTAAAAAAATAAACAATAAAATACTTTACTGTAAATTGTTTTTAACGATATAAAACTGTCCACCTGGAGAATAAATAACCAATAAGCAGCTATGGACATTTTTACAGTAATGGATATTTGAAAATGGCAGCAACATCAGAGATTTAAAGGGGAGCAGTTGAATTGTACTTAAAGGGAAACGCCGTTTTTTTTTACATTGAGCCCTTGATTTTACATTATTACATCATGTTCTACACACTCCGCTTTGTTTCAAAAGATAAATAATATAACCACGGATGTCTGGGGGACAGTGATTTGCCTACATGTTATGAATGCTGGCGTACCATAATGAATAAAATATGAACAGTTTAGTTTGTGCCTTCAAGTCGTTGCCCATAGGAAGAAGTTACTTGGATATAACCTAACGGAATATCTTCAGAACGGCTCCAAATGACTCAAAACTCATATGGGTGAGTAGAACATGATGTAATAACGTAAAATCAAGGGCCCAATTTTAAAAAACTGCGTTTCCCTTTAAGTACAATTCAACTGCTCTGGAAATGTCCTATAGCCTCTTTGGCAACAGTTTTCATGACAGGACTGCAGTTTACATCACAAGTTTTGTGCTTGAAAGGGGCCACATCCAAATAAGTTAAAAGACAATCCTGAAAAAGCTTCCCATACAGGAAGCTTTTTCAGTTCAAAATGTCAGAAATAGCATTAACTTCAAGCCGTTGCCCATAGGAAGACGTTACTTGGATGTAACCTAACGTCCGGCTCAGCAACCCCCAACCCAGGATTTTAATGATTCATACTATTTTCCTTGAAGCCTCACCCAACAGCTCCAGCTTTTTTTCTAACAGCTAACATGTTGAAACTCGTCTGTTCAACTAAACCTGAATGAAAAAAAACAATGCAATTGAAGACATGTTCATTAATCATTCTCTAAACATTTTAATAGGATTAAACAATGTATATAAAGAGCTTGACATTGTATGAAAATATTGGGAAAACATAAAGAAAGTCATTTTCATGGTCAGTGAGGTTTTTATTTGCTATTTGCTTCATCAGTCAAGATGTAACATTAATGGAAAGGATCCACATTAAAACATAATACAAAAAACACAGTTGTAAAAAACAGACCATAGTTTCCCCTTAATCACTGTTGGTAAATAGAACCTCCAAACAATCAATAATAAAACCACCAGAATTAGTTGAAAGGAGAATTTAATCTTTAAAAAATGCAAACAATAAACTTCTTGAGACCTGTTAGACTTCATTTAATTCACAATTTTTTAGTTTTGTTTTTCTAGATTATTCTCCATTACCTGATAAAACCAGTCTTTGAATAAAGCACTGTAAATCCAAATGTTAAGACTAATTAAATATTCTGTTTATTTAGCTCTGTTAATTTAAATGTGTTAAAGGCACACTATGCAACATTTTTCAGTTAATTAATGTGTTCCATAACGTTTTGGATGATTAAATGAGTCATTCCAGGTTGAACAAAGGTATTCTCGGCCGCCCTGGTGGTCTGTGGGGGAAATACCGCACTTGCAATTGCAGGAGCACCGACCCGCACCCACAGGCTCAGAAGTCTCACGAGAGTCAGTCTTGCTTTACGGCGAGACCTGCTACACCCCCCAGTTAAAAGCATGCTCGTTGCTAGCACAGTGGCGATCTTTGTGCAGTTATGCTACGTTCACGCAGCAAAAGCAGCAAAATCGCGTCGGCTGCTTCATTTTTGCTGCTTGTACCAGTTAGTTCTGACGCGCGGCTGAAGCAGCTTTGCTGCTCTGGTGCTCTGCGCGGTGCAAAAGTGTGTCTGACGCGCGTTGGGCGGAGCTTCACTATCCTTTCTCTGCCTTGCAGCTATATTTGCTGTGATCCGTGGGAATAAAGTAGTTTTAATATGTGTTTAAGTGAGAAAATACACCTGAAAACTTAATCAGTGCCGTCAGTTCATTCAGATTATTATCCTGCCTTCAATAGGAATCCCTTCATCAGCAGCCTCTGGCCGGGTCGCCTCCTCGCGGTTCACCGCGGCAGCTGGTAGGTGTTTTTCATCTAAATAATCCAAACTGCATATTCTGCCGGCAGATTTCTGCATTTTAAGTTAATTTAGGCGTCAATAAACTGTTTAAGAGGAGTGATCATAGCCTCTGATCATCAGCGCTGTGTCTCTCTCCCTGCGTCAGATGATTAAACGCGCCCCACGCGCTGCTTCAGCTGCTCAGACGCGCTGCGCCGGCTGCTCAAAACGCACCGCGGGACCTTTTGCTGCGCCTTGACACGCGTCAACCATTGACTTTGCATGTAAACTCGCTGCTTCTGTCGCGCCAGCTGCGGTGTGAACGCAGCATCAGTCATTCGTTGCGTTCGCCTGTCTGCTAAGCTCAAAACAACCGCGCCTGGCTTGACGGAGAAACCAGGAGAACAGCTGTGCATATTTACGACAGTGCACTTTTACTTTCGCCCTCTGGGGGGAGCCTCGCTGGAAAATCAACACCAGTTGCATAGTGTACCTTTAAGGTATTGTGATTGTAAGGTATTGTGTTGTTGTTCAAGTACATTTAACTCTATGGTTTGGTCTAAATAATTAGTGTAATATTTAAGCATAACTTAAATTTCTGAGGAAGTACTTCCTCAGAATTTGACGATAAGACCTCATTGGCTGATTGATTGACAGTGGGTGTGGCTAGGTCTGCAGTAATGTTGCCGTTAGATTTAATGAGGACTGTTCAAAGCTGCAATCCTCCAAATCTGAGACCATGGTCATGAGCTGGAAAAGGTTAGATTACAGACACTGCCCTAAGTGTTTGTAATTTTCTTTTTTTTTAAGTCAGTATCAATGAAAAATTAAGATTACACTGAAGGGGTGACAAAAAATAAATAAATTACAGTCAACTTCTGTTTGTTACCTTCTGCCCCTACATTTAAAAGACTTCTCCCCTGTGTGAGTTTTCATTTGGCTATTCAATAAAGCTCTTCTTTTGAATGTTTTTCCACAGCTCTTACAGGAAAAAGGCCTTTCATCTGAGTGAGTTGTCATGTGAGAAGTTAACTGACTCTTTTGTGCAAAATTTTTGCCACAAGTTGCACAAGAGAATGGTTTCTCACCTGTGTGAATTCTGAGGTGTGCATCAAGATTGAATTTAATATTGAAGCTCTTTCCACAGGACTGACATTCATACATTTTCTGCCCTGTGTGAGTTCTCATGTGTTCTTTCAAAACATCTTTTCTTTTGAACATTTTCCCGCAGGTCTTACAGGAAAACGGCCGTTGATCTGAGTGAGTTGTCATGTGAGAAGTCAACTGACTTTTTGTGGTAAAATTTCTCTCACAGATGCTACAGCAGAAAGGCTTCTCACCTGTGTGAACTCTGATGTGTCCATCAAGAAAAGATTTATTAATGAAGCTTTTCCCACAGGACAGACATTCATAAATCTTGCCACCTGTATGAGTTCTCATGTGAACTGTTAAATGTGTTTTTTTTAGAAAGCTTTCTCCACATCTCAAACATTGGAAAGGTTTCTCTCTGCAGTGACTTTTCAAGTGCAGAATCAGGTCCCGGTTTTGAGAAAAAGAATCACCGCAAATTGTACAGGAGAACAAACTTTTATCTGTGAGGGTTTCCTTGTTCCTTCTGGGTTTTGAACCATTAACACTGTTTTTATGCTCTATGGTTTTCTGACATTTGTTATAATGTCTGGGTCCTTTATCTTGCTCTGATCCAGAGTCTGTTGGATGGATTTGTTCAGGATCCTGGTTCTGAATTTCATAAAAGTCCTGAGAGATGACTTGGTTCCTGATTGATTGTGGTTCAACGTGGTACTCTTCCACAAGAGTAGGGTTCACCATCAATGTGTCTCCAGTCTCCTTCTTCAGAAAAAGCTGCTCTTTATGGTCACTTATGGGGAGCTCCATGGTTTCCTCTTTTGTCCAGGGATGCTCTGGCTTCTGCTGCTCTTCTTTTATCTGCAGAGGTTCTGGTTCCTCTTTGTCCAAACTGGAATTCTTCTCCTGCTTACAGAGCCTCTGATCAAAGAAAACCTCCTCTTTTCCAACATAATCCAGAAGGCGGTCTAGAAAGAAACACAGGAGAATGACTTTCTACTGTAAGTTAAACAAGGCAAGTTTATGTTTCTATCAAAATTCAGTACAAAGACAATTCAAAGTGCTTTACATAAATTAAACAAATAAATAGAAAGAAAATAAAAACAGAAACAAGTAAAGATAAAATGAATAAAAAAAACTGTTGGACCCCAACATTCAATTCAATTCAGTTTATTTATATAGCGCCATATTACAACACATGTCATATCAAGGCACTTTACAGTTCACCAGATCATCCAGCCAGATTGATTCAAAGTTTTCTATCTAAGGAAAACCAGCTGATTGCATCGCATCTTTGACTCGAAGGCAATACCTCACACTAAGCAAGCTTGTAGCGACAGTGGGGAGGAAAAACACAGGCTTTCTGCAATTTTACACTTTTCTGGAATTTTGTTGGTTAAAAAAAAACTGTTTCCCAAGTAGTTTTTTAATTATGACAGTTCTTCTGTCAGATTGTAGAATTATGTTGATTATCTACATTATGACCTAGAAATCGTTGCGATTTCAGTGATCGCAATGAAAAATGTTTTTATTTATATTTTATTAGTTCCAATGGCCATGACTGTCGGAATGCTGGTATGCTGAAAAATCTGCTGAAGTGTTGCTAGTCCGATAGAGACAAAGTAAATGTCCGATTGCTGTAACATTTTCACACAAAAAAAAGTATATTGCCACTGCAACAGTAGACTGGTCATGTGTCTGATTACAGCTAAAATGTGCAAAAGACTGAAAAAACTTCTAGAAATTCTGCTACCAACCAGAGTTGGTTAACTTTTAAACTTGCAGGATAAACATACAGAATAATGGTATCTGACTTTCTGAAACTGAAAATCCAGGATATGCAGGGATTAACAGCAGAATGTAATCTGAGTTCCCACACATCCTGCTACAGTCATTTGTTCTGGTAGAGAGTAGCCACAGTATGGAACACATGCTCGTTATGGCCAAGAAAAATACTTAATTGTAAATGTTTAAATAAAACAGTCAAAAACATTATTTAATTTTTAGCTCTGGTAAAATTATAGATTATAGGTAAAATACTTTTTTTTCTTTTCTTTTATATCTTTATGTAACACTTTTCCTATCAGTTTATTTTAGTAGAATATTTGTTCTATTTTTTATCTATTCGTTCAGTTTGTTCTTCTATATAATAGTGTAATAAATTATTAATCACAGCTGGAGGCGCCTTAGAATCTAAGAGAGAAATACAGCAAGATTTAACAGGAAACACCCTGTTAAATCTTGCTTTATTTCTCCTCAGGTTTTAATCTAATCATCAGGAACATGTCATTGTAGAGTTTTACCTGCAAAGCTGCAGTTTGCAAACATGAGGCTTTAACTCTAACAGGTTTTATTCGCTCCCTGATGAAGCTCAAATCCACAGCCTGCATCATCAGTGAAATATTAATGCAAAGTGTGGGTTTGGTACCTATCCGGTGCAAGATGATCCGGGGGATTAGGGAGGAATCCAGTAATCTGTGCTGAACCTCCACCTCTTCTTCGGATTTGAAAAAAACTTCTTTAATCTCTGTCAGTGTTTCTTCAGCAGGAGTAAACTGCTCAGTGATAAATTTGCCCTGAAACTGGAATGAAGACATTCTCACTGCAAACATTCAAATATCAGTCCATAGATAAACAAGCATCTCTCCATGGAGGAGGAAAGCTAAAGCTAAAGCTGCTAGCGATCCAGTCCGTCTTCTTCTTCTCGTCCTAACAACCAACTGTTGCCACCTTCTGGATAAAATCAGTATTTCATATAGCAGGCCGCTTCCTAGAGGTTCTATGAAAGACCGTTTCCGCCACATGACAGTAAAAAAAAAAGCCAAATAGAAAGTCATAATTCTGAGATACAAAGTTTGAAAGTCGAATATCTCATAATGTTTACCTTTAAAGTCGAAATTATGACTTTGATTCTCATTAGTATGACTTTGTATCTCATAATTATGACTTTAAATCTCATAATTACACCTTTCTATTTGCATTTTTTTTAACTTTCATGTGGCGGAAATGGGCTTCCACAGTTTACTAGATATTTTGGATGAAATGTAAAAAAAAAAAAAAAAAAAAAGCCTCTTACAATGATATTATCAATCCTTCATTTTTATTGAAATACAAGTCTATTTTTCTCATGGAAAAAAGCAATAAGAAGACTGACAAATAATCTCACATATTCACAGGTTATGTATGTTATTCTATTTATATTTTATTCATAATATTAAGTGGGTTTTTGTAAATGTATGGATTGTGCAAACCTACCCCCTGGCTTTGTCACAAGTTCTGTTCCTTATGTATTTGTAAGCATTTATTTTTTCAAGAAAAAAAAGGGGTTCACTGCCATATTATTCTCATTGTTCATAATAGCGTAGTGTTGGGGTAACCTTAACCCTAAGCTACACATAATAAAAACAAAGCAAAAGTCATGTTAGATTAGCTGTGCTTTTACTTTTCCCATTCAGAGTTGTCAAGTAACAAATTATAAAACCTTAATTATTAATCTTTAGCTGTTTTCTGTATCTGTTCTTCACGTAAATATTTCTTTTTCTGGGGACTCTACTTTTACTCAATACATTTGAACACTGAAATCCGTACTTTTCTGCTCTTCACTTTCTCCAAAATGGATTGTAAAGTTTAGATGCAACAGCCACAACAAAACAGATAGAAAATCAAGAGCAAAAAGAAAATAAGTTCAGTTAGAATCCTGTTAGTTTATTAAAAGCAAATAGCAACATAGATGAAGACAGGGGGCTAGTAAACATTACATACGATGGATGAGATTCTGAGTAGGACATTCCTCTTCATTCGCCCTTATTAGATTTCATGTTTGCATATTTATTATGTTTCAGCTTTGTGTTGTGAATACAAGAGCTCTAAAAGAATTCAACTGTTCATGCGTGACTGCTCTTTAGTTTAATCTATTATGTTATTTGAAAATTTCTTTTAGAGCAAAATTAGACTGGGTCAGGTTTATTTTATGGTCTTCTACAGACACAGTGAGCAAAAGAGAAGCATGTCATTCTTGTCACTCATATAAGTAATTGTCATTCGAAAATTTCCCTTCTGTTTTTCTTTTTTCCTTTAGCTTAACATAACAATTCCTGGCTGCTCAGTGGGTAGCACAGCTGCCTTGCAGCAACAAGGTTCTGGGTTAGATTTCTGGCCTGGGGTCTTTCTCCCTGTGCATGCCTGGGTTCTCTCCGGGTACTCCTGCTTCCTCCCACAGTCCAAAAACATGACTGTTAGGTTAATTGACTTCTCTTAAACCTCCTTAGGTGTGAGTCCATACGTGAATGGTTGTTTGTCTCTGTGTTGCCCTGCGATGGACTGGAGACCTGTCCAGGGTGGACCCCGCCTCTCGCCCGTAGACAGCTGGAAATAGGCACCAGCAGCCCTCACTACTCCAGCTGGGACAAAACGTGACGGAAAATGGATGGTTGATAACAATTCCTTAAAAAACCAGTATAATGCTGGCTGTGTTACAACATTATAAAAGACAAAACCAATATTGAATAGTAAAGATTTGTATGTTAAAAAGGAGGAACATAAAAATAATAAAGCTATTCAATTTGACAAGCGTGTTGTTTTTCAAAACAATGCTTTTCGTTTTTCAAAATGTTCATTGTTTTTGTTGTGTTCATTTTCTCTCTGAATTAAATTGCTTGTTCAATGAAAGGTCACATCCAAGAAACATGGGAAACTATTTCAGGCCAGGGGTCAGTCATGTAACCAGGCCTCCCTGGCCCCCAAAATTATAACTCAGTCTATTTATATCAAATACATAAGGTTTATCATGTGCTTGCATTTAACAAACCTGATTATTATGCAACATTCTTTGTATATTTGAAATAAATACTTCAGTATTAATTAAATTAGTATTAATTAAAAGCAGCTAAAACAACACTACAAAAGATAGATTACAGAGTAGGGCTTTATGTATATGCACGGGTGCAGTGAAAATAACACCTAATATTGCTCTTCTAATAATGACCCGAGAGACTTCAATGGAAATTAGAAAAATAAGATTAGCTCTAGTATACTGGATGAAAATTAAAAGTAGTAAGGAAGAAAATGTTACTTTTACAATTCTACAAAATTGTTGGGAATATTCAAAGTTTCAGAGTAATGGATTTGGATGGATTATAAGCAAATTGATTAAAGAATTTTGATTAGAAGACAAGAACATATCTCAGTTTAATCCGATTATTGTTATTCCTCCATGGCTCTTGAAGTAAATGTAGACATGAGACTGCTTAAAATGAAAAATGATTGGAATTTAAATGAAATAGAGATAAAGGCTGATATATATTTAAGAAACTCATATTATAACTACCTTAAATATATTCAGATGGTTCTAAGAATTGAAAAAGACATGTGGGAATAGGAATATATATACCAGAGTTTAAAATATATATTTCTAAAAGAATATCAGATCAACTATGTGTTTTCACATCAGAAATGGTGGCAATTATACTAAGCTTACAATGAGTAGAGGAGGTTAGACCAGACAGGGTGGTGATCTGTACAGGTTCCATAGCAGTTTTAGAAAGTATTCAGGGAGACGAAAATGATAGAAAAGATTTAGTATGAGAAATCCAGCAAAGTCTACTTAGATTATATAGGGGGGGCATTGATGTTTGGTTATGTTGGGCTACAGCACATGAAGGTGTAAAAAGGCAATGGAAAGGCAGATATGTTTGCAAAAAGGGCTTTAGATGGAACAATAACAATTACAATACCTTCAGGTAAAGGGGAAGGGAAAGCACTTATTAAGAGTAAAGAAATAGAAAAATGGCAAAAGAGATGGAACGCAGATAAGAAAGTAAGAGGATTATATAAGGTAGAAAAATCAGTATTAAATTGAATAATTAAATAGAGAAACAGAAGGGAAGAAGTAGTAATGATCAGATTGAGAATGGGTCATGCCTATTTAAATGACGATTCATATTTATTCAGGAGAGAAAATATTGATAAATGTGAAGAAATGTGGAGAAAATGTAGAACACTTTCTGATGAACTGTAAAAGTTCTGAACATGAAATGGAGAAATTGAGGAGAATGGTTAGAAGGACAGGATAAGAATTGAGTCTTAAAGGAATATTAGGAAATGTAGTAAATATAAAGGATCATTATTTATTTATCTACAGAGTACACAATTAAAAGATAGAATTTGATGCAAAGTGATGTTGCTACACACTCATGTACAGTAGGTGGCGGTATGCAGCTTAAAGTTGCTGATGATCCGCCATGATAGAAAAGAAGAAGAAGAAGAGACACTGGTTATTTCTGGGGCTAAATATTTTAATGTTTGCAGAGCGGATTTATTCATCCAGTCCAGCTTCAAGGACCGTTTATAATCCCACCTTTTAGTCCTGCTGAAGAAACATTCACGGTTTAAAGGAAGTTTAGTCAGAACTGATGGATGTTTTGCACAGACTGCTGGATTTCCATTGAATCCATCAGATCATCTCACATCGGAAAGGTACGAAACAGCCGATCTATAAATGTTGAACTGAAAACACAGATTTTAGGTTGAATTTGGGAAAACTGCTCAGAGGAGAACAAGCAGCTAAATCTGCCTTCAGACTGAGAGCAAATAAAAAATCTGCATCGTGATGCTAAAACTCTACAGTTACTGGTTGTTTCTGCTGATTAGATTCAAACATGCTGCCTGCTTACATCTAGTTGTCTTTCTCAGTGTGAAACCTTAACTAGTTTAACTAAATGTACTCTATTCTTTTATTTTATTCGGTGGAGCACTTATCAAAATAAAGCCTTCAATAAAACTGATAGATTTTATTTAACTTGCAAAGTTTTAGAGAACATTTATAATACAGTTGAACATCAGTTCAACTGTATTATAAAGAAGCAAAACACTCGGTGATAAAGAGCCTCCAGCTGTTTGTTCATCAGTTATTACACCGCTATATGGACAAAGAACCCGATAATAACAGATAATAAAGAATCAACTGAGGAGGGTTTATATAAAAACTTAAAATAACTGACTTGACTAGTTAATAACTATGGACATGAAAATTGGTTTTAAAGGAACAGTCCATATTTAGAATAAAATAATCTGAAAATAATTTAAATATCACATTATGACAAACTGTTCAATAAATAAGTGTTTTTAATTAGGAGTCATTTCATTTGAATGTGCTTTACTGGAGGCAACCATGTTTGTCAAAGAACACTGCTGCCACCTACTGGTTTGTGACGTCACGGTGCGGTATCGGCTGTTGAGCAAGTCCCAGCCCTGTATCTGGTGTTTGTCACAACCAAGGGCGCAGATAGCGTGTACGTCAGGGGTGTTCTGACGTACACAGATTAGAATGACCCTCAATCCGTTCCCCCACTTTTATTAAAAAAATAAATAAATAAAAAAACATACGGCGAAACTCACAAAAAATCAAAAAGCTTTTTCTAATTTACTGCTTTGCAACAACAACATAAAACAGTCAGATCATAGACGGGCAATCGTTTTGTTTAACTGCAGGCTGCCTGCGTCGTAGAGATTCTAATCTAAAAGTTATCCTGTCTCTGGCATTTACGTCCCGAGCCTGGTTTCCATGGTTACTCAGACAGACAGTAGTGGTGGGACAGTTCCCAATTCCGGAGTCCGGACATCCACATGAGGCCAGCCAAACTGAAAAAACAGAAAACAATTGCATCCTTTTTTCGAAAAGCACCAA